GTAGTAGTAGTAGTCGTAGTTGTCGTAGTAGTAGTCGTAGTTGTAGTAGTAGTAGCAGCAGCAGTAGCAGTAGCAGTAGCAGTAGCAGTAGCAGTAGCAGTAGCAGTAGCAGTAGCAGTAGCAGTAGCTGCAGCAGCAGCACCGGTGGTTGTGGCACTAGCTGAGCAGCAGCAACAGCCGGACAGCTGGTAGACTGACTAGTAAGATGCGATCTGTGAGGTCTTCGGGCAGCTGGAACTTCGGTTTCGATATAGTTCAGGAGTTCAAGGATCCTTCTGATGAGGATCCCGTCTGTTTGGGGTCTCAGTCAGGATACCACTCTTTCCGGAGAATCGCGATGGTTTGCAAACGTAGGGCTAAGGGCGGGCTGTCCACCTGACAGGCAGCAAGCACCTGGGTGTCCTGGGTGTGAACCCCTTTAATTTCCCCAAGCATAAGTCTCCTCTCACAAGCCCATGTGGATGCCTGGTCCCCGAACCCAAAACCTGTACACCCTGAAGCGCATGTTCGGTTTTCGTCAACACACAAGCAGAATGAACACCAGTTCGACTTATGGGTCCTTGCGCCATGTTACAGGACGCTGGAGGAGATGACTCGCTTCCAGCGTAAGACGCAGCAACGGGCACAGGCCCGTTGGGAGTTGTGTAGACTTCAATTAAGGTGTAGGGTTGCACATGTTCAGCGAGTCCCATTGTTATCGGTTCCAGGCTGGAGGCTCCGGGTGTTTGAACGCAAGGCCGAGCAACTTGTGGTCCACCGCTTCAGGATTTACAGCCTCGGGTCTGCAGGGCAAGATGCTTGTCCGTGCCTGGTGTGTTCCCTGGGTCTGTCGTTTCAAATCTGCCGAAGCAGCAGCCGGTTTCGGCCAGTCTCACTAGATTCACTAGATTTAGTTAGAATCCCGAAGCAGTTCCAAGGCCCTTAAAACCCGCCATGTGGCAAGCTTTCAAGTAAAGCACCTGCCATGTCTGCGACTTCCGTGTCACGAGGATCTAATGTTCGCGGATGTTAAGAGGGATTGATGGTGAATAACTGCAATGCCTTCAGAGATATGGCCACTCTTGCACCAAATAACCCAAAGCCTTGCTCCCATGGCTTGGAGGCTTTGGGGACGTAGGGCTGTCAGTTTGTCATTGAGCTTGGTGGAACCCCCAAGGCCTAAACCCTAAATCCTGTCGCAGGCTTTGAAAGGATCCACAGCCTGCGGCCCGCAATCCCTAAACCCCGAACCCGGAAACCACAAAGGGCTCTTTGAAGCGCTCTATGAAGGAACTATATGATTATATGGGTACTAGAAGATTTTACGGCTTCTTCCGTGTCGAACTTAAAGCCCTCTTGGGTTCGGGACTCCTTAGCCGCTGAACTCTTGAGCACCCTCGACCTCCTCAGGTTTAGGCCGTGGGGACAATCACATATAGGGACCTATAAGACTCTGCCATGATACAAACTCCATAGCTAGTGGGTGTGTCCTTTTACAAGATCTTTTATTTTGGAAGCTTGCGCGTCCAGCTTTCGTCCCTGTATCAAGCTTTACCTTGGAGTCTTCTGCTTCTTCTGTAGATCCGAAGACTGCTCCATGCAGTTCTTGTCCTACGTGCTGAACTTTTGCTTCCTGGTCCACATCATACTCGTCGGCGGACGGCTTAGCTTGACACAGAACGTGCGCCCTATGAGTAGATTAAGTTAGAGTTAGCACACAACCCTACGGTCCGTTGCTTGAATCTCCCGAATGCTTGGCCCCAACCCTGCTGACTCCCAGCCTTATTTCGAGATGTAGCTACACATAGGATGTCATCGCGAATAGTTGCAGCAACACTTGTAAGTTTGTCGGAAGGCCAGAAATTCCTTTAACGAGATACGCAATTAATGACTCTCATCCTGGCACAGCACACGTATCTGTGCCAGAAAGCAAAAAATTATGACTTAAGGTTAAGGGCAGGCTCCCAACGTCTGTCAGCGTGCTAGCTCCACGCAGAAAAGACGCATAAGGATGCGACAGGCTGAGCTCATGCTCGAGAGTTGACTTGAGGTGTTGGGGGTTGAACTCGCTGCAGTTTCGCAGGTTAGGAGTTTAAAAACCGATGTAAGCTGTCGTGGATGGTCCATGAGGTGTGTCAGCCGGACACATCAGTGAAGATGGGACGTCATTGTGCGGCCTTTGGGGTTGGGGCGTCGCAAGTTGCAGAATAAGGACCATGACCCTGGCAGCACACAGGCGGGCACGAGCTTCGCGCGCGTATACGCGCTTTTTCACAAGCTCTTGGCCTCTTGGACAAGTTGAATCTGTCGGATTCACATTCACCATATTGGAGGAGGTCCGGCCGACACGACTGCCGTCGACGCCCAAGGTCCTCATGTAAGCTGGAAGTGAACTGAGCGACTCCTTCCTTGCGATTCGAGACTTTGGATCCTATACTTTAGGACGACGATCAAGCTCTGTCAAACCGCACAAGTGTAAACCAAGCCACATACCTTCCGTCGCAACAGCTGCATAACTGCCGGGTGTGTAGTCCCGACCGCAGACATTAGGATTCCTAGGACGGAGAACCCTTGATGACTGTGTTCGACTCACGTACTTGTTTTGGCCATGGTTCATGGGCCATGAAGCACGCCAGGAGTTTGTGCATGAACCAATAAAACGTGCACACTTGTCTGACCAAGGTCCGGAGGATCCGAAGCGAAGGTAAGAGAGTAATTATGGAAACGTCTACCTTCAACCGTGTTTGCTCCGTTTTGCCGTTGAGCATCCAGCCCCTCAGGCGTGCTGCTGATGATCTTCATCCGAATGGACGAGGATCCTACATGCCTAGGGGCCCTCAAGCACGGGCCCTTCGTCCTCCGATAAATGCTTGTGAAATTCTAAGATCGGCCAAGGAAGCCCAATAATCACTAAGTTTATCTGTGTGTCTTGAACGGTGGGACCGCAAGATTTCGGGTTTTGCCGTGCTGCTTTCCAGGAGACCGGTGGTGATACCTACCCGATCCTGAGGAACTGCCTAATGGCATTCTCCATAGGCGCGGCAGGGTCGTTCCTTCGAGCTCTAGCATAGGACCTTGAATCTCAAGCCCCAACCCGTCAGAAAGCAGGGGAAGCTTCCGAAAGCTTGGAAAGATTTGCATCCGGGCAGGCGAATTCACAACATGGAGCCTAAAAGCTGTATTGTATAACACTCGTTTGATGCTATGTAGAGTTGCATACTGAGCATACCATAACTCCAGACTATGAACTGCTTCCAAGCCTAAGCCCCTAAGCCGAGGCCGAAGCCTGAGTCAGTCTTGCTACCAGCTTCAACCGACTCTTGACACAGTGCGACGAATGCTGTAGTGGCGATAGGTTCTGATGGTGATGATGATGATAAGAAGATGATGATGGTGGTTGTCGTTGCTGCTGGCGCTGGCACTGTTGCTGGTGCTGGTGTTGGTGGTTTTGCGTTGTGGCGGGGGTGCCGAGGGTGCGGGGGTGCTGGGGGCGCTGGGGGAGCTGGGGTGCTGGGGTGGTTCTGGTGACGGCATTGATGATGAGGGTGATGATGCTACGGATGGTGATGCTATGAATGACGATGATTATGTTGCTGGTTCTGGTGCAGGTTATGTTGTAATGGCAAAATGATGACGACAACGAAGATGACGATGGACATTATCGGGATTCTCGGCGTATGCCAGATCCGGCAACAAAGCTTCGTTTGTTGCGAAGTCGTGGCGGCAATCGCATCGACGATGTCTGAAGATTGTTGCAGTGTAGAGTCACTTTTATGGTGAATGGTAGTGGTCCTGCTATTCCGCAGCTACTGTCCCGTCCTCGCTGCTGCAGCACTGCTTCTTCGACGACGGTGACGACTGTACAAAAAGCTTGCTGACTTCTTCAGAAATCCTGTTTTTGTTGGTTGCGGCTGGTTAAGCCTGCAGCCAAAGCTCTAGCAACATCGGCCAGTTCTGGTGGTGCTCTTTCTGCTGGTCATCGGCATCCCTGCCGCCCGCATGACACTAGGCGCGGGCCGATTGATTCAGAAGCTCCCGAAGACGGCTCGGTCAGCCAACAAAATCCGGGCCTGAGTTGGTGACAAGAATCCAGCCGTAGGTGCGAACCCGTGTAGACTGGAAAGCGCGTTCCTCTATTGTAGGAACGGATGGATTGCCTTGTCTGACCATGCCCTTCCATGGCTGTTCTAGATGCTGGCATTGGTATAAGTTTGCCCTGCGCGATGCTGGGCTGTTGGCAGCGAGCATCCTATACTGAAGTGTCCATAGGCGAGCTGAAGCAAGGAAGCTTACCCCAAATAGGCTCAGACTTGCACAGCGTGCATGCAACAAGACCACATGCGAACCTCAAGCGACCATGCTCACTCGAGGAATGTAGTTAATCTGGGTAGATGATTGTTGTGGTAGAAGCCCCGAGCGGCACGAATTCACTAATGCCAACCCCTAGTGACTCCAAGTCGTCGGCTCCGGCACCCCGTTCAAGCCATCGTTCTGTCTATTTGCGCGTCTATGTATGTTCTACATGTATCTATGCATCTATCTATCCATCTATCCATCCATCCATCTATCTAGCTAATTATCTATCCAGCTATCTAGCTATCTATATCTGTCTCTATCCGTCTATCATGCTGGCTCTCTCTCTCTGGCTCTCTCTCTCTCTCTCTCTCTCTCTCAGTCTCTCTCAGTCTCTCTCAGTCTCTCTCAGTCTCTCTCAGTCTCTCTCAGTCTCTCTCACTCTCTCTCACTCTCTCTCTCTCTCTCTCTCCCCCTCCCTCCCTCTCTCTATCAAACTTTCTTTCTAATCTAACCCAATCTAATTTAACCTTTTTTTCGATCTAACTAGCCGTCCAACTATCTATCTTATCTAGTCTACGAACATGTACTCTAATCTCTCTCTCTCTCTCTCTCTCATCTGATCTACTTTCCCAGTTCATCTAATCGATCTTAGCTCTCTTCTGGCCTATCTACTCTATGTTGTCTAAACACATCTGCTGTTATGAGGATCCGAAGCCCCTGCACCCTAAGCTTCTGAAGCTCGCCAAATCTCGAGCATTTCTCGTTCCAGGCGTGCAGGTACAAGCCTGGCAACACTACTACACGACGGCCATGAGGCTCCCTTTGTTGCTGCAGGGCTCAGCGTTCTGATGTTCAGGTTTAATGTTTTGCGTCGCGGGCTTCAGGGTTTGGAGCTTGGGGATTCAGCGTCTTGTTCGCCGGTGCTTTGTTTTTTTTTTTTCTTAGGGGCTTATGCTTCAATGTCATTAACTTGAGGAGGCTGTTCGATTTCAAGGAACTTGGATCAAACTCTACAAACCTTATAATTATAAGCCCAGAACAGTAAACTTCAGTTTCTTTAGCCTACAACGCTGGGACAGTTTAAGTCATTCAGGTTTCGGGCTGGGGCGGAGGGTTCAAGGTTTGCGCCGGCTTCTAGGATTAGCACTCTGATTGCGGTTGAGTGGGCTGGGGCCTGCAAACCTGGGTAGCAGAGGTTTCACGTTCTGGGCAGAAGCCCTCTTACGGTGGAGAGGACTGAGGATGCTCGAGTTCATGGTATTAGGAATCTGTGCCGCCTTGGTTCAGGCTTGCATAGATCGCATTGACCAGTGGCAGAATTTCAGGCTTCAGGGTTTACTTGCTAAGTTAAAACTTTTTACCTCCTAAACCCTATCTCCCCCACGACCATAAAGGCGCATGTTAATCGTATAAACATGCCAAGTGTAATCGTGTACTTGCTTTCCTGCAGCCTGCCTTCTGCACGCTGGAGCTTTGTGGATAGTTGGAAAAAGGCCCCTAAGCACGACCTTCCGCTGAAGAGGCTATTGAGCCTGTTGCGCTTAAGAGTCTTCAAGCATTGCAGCTCACCTCGGCCAAAACCCGCCTAGCCACCGTGGACTCGACTCTTCAAGCCACATTTCATTGGTTGTTAGCCAAAGCTCTGTGCATCGATCGTCAGGCCCGATGGCAAGTTGAAGCGGCAGGCGGCGCAGAGGGACGCCGACACCAGCTCGGGACTGTCCAGAAACATCCTACTCCAAATGTCAACTGTCTGCCACCCGAACTGTAATGCATGCTCTCAACCTTTAGGGACATACACACGCAACTTCGATGCACTGCACAGCGCCCCGCAACATGTCTTAGATGCGCGTTGAATCCTAATCCAGGCCCTTCCATCCCGGAGGCATACCTGGCCCCGTGCTATATCTAACGCAGTTAGTACACAAGATAGTCTACAAGATCTGACATTAAAGAGATCCCAAGTTAAACTACCCCAACATTACTTATCGACCCGGGATATGTGGACGGCCATTACGGGTCATGGCTGTGTCTAGGCGGCCATGGAGGTTCCGCCTCGTAGAGTTGAGGTGCAGGCAATTCGCAGTGCCATGAGCACGACGAAAACCTAAAACTGCGACCGCCGAAAAGAGCAGGAACAAGAAGCCCCCCTGATCACCAGATCCAAGACCATGAATCCTGAATCTGGTGCAGAATAGCCCAAGTAGAAACTTAGAAAGCTGTAAGCCCAACCTCGATTTCAGGAAAACGATGCTGAATACCACAAACTTAGACTCAACCCAGTGAGAAAGACGTGTACAATTGCTTGGAAGGACCACGCGGGGCAGCCTGGGCCGAAGGTGCAGGTGCATTGGTCTAGGTGGTTGTAGCGGTTTTAGCGCCTTGAGAGGCAGCCGAAGGTTTAGCTCGATTGCTCGGGATTCATACATGATTGATGTTTTTGCGTTGGCGATCAGGGTATCGGGCCGTGGGAATCGTGGTGCAGGCTTTCAGAACTTGGGGTTCAGTCTTTTCGTGTCCATGGCCTGGAGACCGTGGGAGGGTTCGTTTTGAATTTTGGTTTGAAAAATCTGCATTTTGGCTTTTCATGTAGAGTCTCTAAAGACTCTAAAGCAAATTGAATAAGGGTACATAAGCACAAATATCCAAATATAAAGAGACAACTATGCACATACTCTCTCACACACACACACCCCTACCCTACAGTACACACATATACATACCTACCTACCTGCCTGCCTACCTACCTAGCTACCTACCTACATACATACATACATACATACATAGAGACAGACAGACAAACAGCCAGCCAGCCAGGCAGGCAGGCAGGCAGGCAGGCAGGCAGACAGACAGACAGACAGACTACATACTCTTACCTACCTACATACATACATAAATACATACATACAAACATACACACACAAGTATACACATAATCACATATATATATATGTATGTATGTATAGGTGTACGCATATGTATGTATATACATATATACACATGTGTATGTATGTATGTATATATATATATGTGTGTGCATAGCCGGCTGCACAGTATCTGTGAAAGTATCATTAGCATGTATTGACGAAGATGATTTGCAGGCTCATGTTGGGGTGAGCACCCCGACTTTTTTCTTATGGTTATCTTTGGTTTTTTGCGCTGCTTGGATGTAACATCACATGCCTCAGGTGACTTTCGACCTTCGATCCGCAGATGTTCTCAGTACGAGGGCCGTGGCGATGAAGGCTCTCTGCTGTGTGCGGTCTTGGCGCAATGCCTCACATTGTTGTCGCTGTTGCTTTTCCTGTTGCTGTCGCTGTCGCCATGCTTGTTGTTGTCGTGGTTGTGTTTGTTGCTGTTATTATTATTGTTATTATTATTATTACTATTGTATTATTGTTGTTGGTGAGGCGATATCATGGGAAGTTTTGGGTTTAGGGTTGGGAGATGAAGGTTTAGGGTGTGCAGCCTAGCACTTGCAAACAAGCAACACTGCGAACCCTCAAGAACAGTTCGGCTGAATGTGGCCGACCCTGTTGCCACCAGTCCTTCAGGAACTTAGGCTTTTTGCAACTTCGAGCCATAGCTCTTCGTGGCATCTGCCTCTTTTCCTTTGCACTGTTATCCTCGCTTGCTGCATAGGGTGCTTTTGCGGAGCTTTGGCTACAGGGCTGCTGATTTCTGAGAGCTGTCGCGGCGTGGTCCGATCCTTGGGCTTTTGGCTACAGGGCCCTCATTCCTGCAGCCCGCGCCCGACGAGGCGGATTGAGCAGCTGAGGCGGCTCAGGGAGCACAGCTCGGACTAGCAGTACATGCAAACTCCGCCTCGAGGATGTGGCTCTGATCGCCAGGAACAGGACATCGAGGAGCTCACTCTCCGACTTCGAGATTGCACTATTTCACTGAGGTTCAGTCCGAGCCGCCGCCGGGAGTCTCACAGGCCTGGGGCGTCGACGGTCGGCTCTCCTACCAGTTCTACCTCGCGAAGCTTTTCTGTGGTTGCAGAAGCCCTGCGTGCCGGAGTAACCCCTTGCAGGCCCTAGTCAGGACTCTCACGGGATCTCCTCGACTGGTGCGGTTGTTGAGGCCACCACTGTTGAGCAGCTCGAGGCTTTGGAGCTGGGCCACCTTGCTTCTCTGAGCCGTGGTTTGGGTTCCTTCGCAGGCTGGTCTGGACGTGCACGCGTGGCTCGTGCGTTTCGTGCAGGTGTCAGTGCCCGAGAAGCGCGGAGGAGGGGGTCTTTCTTTCAGGACCCTTCTTTGCAAATCCCAGGGCTTCGCAACCGATTCTATATCTGCTTGGTGTGCTGCAGGCACTCTGAAGGCTTTTTCACTCAGAGTGGGCCCACCTACTTCAGAGAGATCCGCGGGGCCCACAGCGGTTCTGCCCCGAATCGCTTTCCCACGCGCCTTCTTGGCTGGGGCGGCCCAACGAACTTTGAACAGGAGCCCGCTCCTCGAGGCCGACGTCCGGGGCCTCCTGGAGACAGACACTTCACGGACGACTTTGCCCTCTTTGCTGCTCACCAGCGAGGCGGCCGATTGGCGAGCTGTGGTTTATCTGCTTCGGGTTCGGGCTGGTGGCTTCGCCGTCGTTTGCCCTGCCGAGCCTCATGTCACCTCAGCCCTGCATGCAGCATTTCCTGGACGACGAGGAGGGGGAGCCCGTGGTCTTCACGTCGGAGCGGGAGGTCCCGGTGGAAACCGCAAGACGGCGAGCTATGGGGCATGTGCAGGCCATCTTTGCCAATGCTTTGGACGGGCTTCCGGCGGGCAGGGGGCATCCGTTTGAGCCAGGGCACCGAGATGGGAGCAGGAGGACGAGCTGAGCGTGCCTTTGATTCTTTCCGGCCCCGCCCTTCCGCTCTGCCCGCCATAGCGAGGACCACCGCTACGCCCATACGGATCCAGTGCGGCGGCTCCTAGCTACTCAGACTTTGCTTCTGCAGCGGCTCGCCCCAACACCACAGGATCCTCTGACCAGCGCGCTGCAACGCGGCGGGGGCAACGACAGCGGCAGCTCCGGCGGTGGGGTCCGCGGGCATAGCGCAAGAGAGGCTTGTCTTCGACAGCTGGAGGACCATGCGGAAGTTGCTCGTGCCATCCGTGCCAATGCCTGTGCAGACGGTGCAGAGCTGGGATACCGGTATCAGCAGCCCCTCCGAACCTCCTCAAGAATTCCTGGACAAGCGAGTGGGGCTAGCAGACCATCGGACGCTGGCGTACTTTGCCACGTTCCTGGCCTACGGCTGGCAGCTGGCCCGCGAAACCAACAACGTCGCGCTGGAGGCCTTCTGCGGCCGCGGCACCATGATGGTCGAGCAGATGGTGCGGGATGGCGGTCGTTTTACAGGTGGGCTGGTTGCTGCGGGGGCTGCCGCCTGGGAGCGGTCGCTCCCCGAAGGCTTCTGCTCGCGGGCAGCTTTCAGTCTCCCTTCCCGGAAGTCCAAATCGCGAAGGAAGGCCAAATTTGCTGCACACCATGCTGGCTTCGCTGGCTTGGAGAACGGGCGAAGAGAGCTGTGCTTAGAACGCCGCGAAGTTCCAGACCAGAAGGACGAGACCGCCGAGAAGGAGCATCCGAAGTGGAAGGCCCGAGCAAAGAGAAAACCAGGCCCGAGCGAGGCCGCATGAGGGCGAAGTGTTCGCCGTGCGAGGAGTTGCGATGCGCGTCAGGCCGCTCCTTGGAGGGGTGCTGAGCATCATCAGGTCGGTGCCGTGTCGCCGAGTAGGGTCCCAACAGCCTAAGCCCCAACCTTCGCGCTTCCGCCTGCCTACTTTACCTCTTAAGGAGTTCAGTGGGCTTTCTTTTCCTTCGGGTGTTTTGCATGATGTTCAATCGTGGGTCTGGAGTTTCTCGGGGATTTGTTCGTGTAGCCATGCCTGCCTGAGCGGCTTTATCTCCCAATCCCTTAGGCCCCGCTTCCTGCGCCGCATATAAGCGAGCCGGAGCTGCTCGTGATACGTGGCCAGTGCCCCCGCCTACCTGGCGGTGTTGGTCTGGTGTTGCAAAGCCGGGAGCCAAGCGGCGCAAGCGATGCTAACTTTATTCGCACAGCTTTTGCCTTGCTTCGCATTATCATTGCCTCCTTGAGCCGGCTGCTGCTTGGGTACCCGCGCAAGCCCCCACCCGAAGCCTGTGTGGGGTGCCCTTTGACATCTGAGCAAAGCTCGATCCAGGATCGCCTTTCGAAGTTGGTGGTCCGCTTTGTCAAGACCCCGGCCTTCGGCCCCGACAGTCTTGGCCGCAGCTGCGAAAAGTTCTCAGGCCTTGCCAAATTCATTCAGGAACTGCCGGTTTTAGGGCCGGAGGTGGACTTGAGTGCCGTATTGCATGAGTTGCATGTTGCTTTTGCACCGTACAGTCGTCCCAAGGAAGCACGTCACACTTCATGTGCAGCCTCTCCTGACCTGCACGTTGTTCTGAGTTGCAGTCGAGAGGGCCGCATCATTCGGTTGCTTTAGGTTCTAGGGCTCCGTTGGATTCGATCAACTGCAAGCCAGTTGTTGCTGAACGAATCAAGTGAAAATACTCTCCATCATTCGATCCCCGCTCCTTTCTTAGGGATACCTGTGCTAGGACCACGTTTGAAGATTTGAATGCACTTCGCAAGCCTCTCTTTGGCCTTCAGTTGCTCGTGCAAGGGTCCATGGTAGCAAACATGAGGTCATGAAACTTGCGCAGCTGTGGGATCAGGTGGTCGCATTAAGAATCCTCAGACTTGACGAGATCGATGACCCTAAGGAGTGTGTAGGACTATTCTGCGTGGGCAAAGATAGTCCGTTTGACAGGTTGATTCTTAATCCGGTTGTTGCCAATTCCAGGGTTTGGGGTCTTAACCACTACACTAAGTCCTTGGGGCATGGTGCTCAGCTGTGTGTGGCAGTGACCGAGGCAAGAGCCAAACGAAACCTAACGAAACGCTGTCGGTATGGTCTTTGATGCTCGAGAGCTGAGACATATGGCTTGCGTATTGCGTACCATGGCAGGCTGCTTGGTTCCCTCCGAGGTTGTTGCCTTCAGGCAACCGTTTCCGCGAGGCGACTTCCTGGAGTTCTTATGCATCGATGATCATGTTTCGGTGCAAATCCTCAAGCGGGCTGCTGCGCTGCGGGGAGACCCCGCCCGTGACACCAGGGTATTCGGGCAATCGCATGTCGCGTACAACGCAGTCGGTTTGCACCCTCGCCCGAAAAAGTGCCGGCGTAACCTTCAACAGGCCACTGTATTGGGCGCCGACATCGACGGAGTTGAGGGCTTCGTTTCTGCGCCCCCTGACAGGACTTTGCTGCTAATGCTTTGCACTGCTGAGATAGCGAGGCGGGGTTCTTGCACGCCTAAGCTTCTGAATGTCTTGCTGGGGTGCTGGATTCATGTGCTCAGGTACCGGCGACCTGCCCTTTGCATCTTGGATCAGTGCTTCAGGGATGCAGCTCAGCAGCCTCCTGATGTGATTGCGCGACTTTCCCAGCGCACGCGCAACGAGCTTTTGATGGTTGCCATCGTCGGGCCTCTTCTTCAGACTGATCTGCGCACCGGTTGGTGCCCCGAGGTGTTTTGCATGGATGCCAGCCCCACTGGAGCTGGGCTTTGCACCGCGCCTGTTCCGGAGAATGCTGTTGCTGAGCTGCACCGCTACTCCGAGCAGCGAGGCTTTTACACTAAGCTTGAAGCCCCTTCTTCTGCAGCCCTTCGCGAGATGGGTCACTAACCGAAGGCATCCTATACGATCGTTGCGAGCTGTGCCATGCGCCTCAAACGTGGTCGTCTGCGCATGCTGCCTTAGGTCTAACGGTCTTAAAAGGTCCTTGCCTTGAGTCTTGGGAGTTCAGTTTGGGGATTTTGGGGAGACTTCACTCTACAAAGAACTCGTCGGTCTCGCGCTTCGGAGGGTTGTACGGGATTGGCATTGCGGTCCACCGCCCTTGTGTCCTTTTGCACTGCGTGGAAGCCACCGCTCCGCACTGAGCCATGCCCTGCAAGTCTCGATGCAAATGACGAACTCACTGCTGCTCACAATAAGTTGGGTTTTAGGCTAGGCTTCTTGCTTTGCATCGTTGCCTCAACAGGTTGTTTTTATTCGGTGGAACAGCCGGACTCCAGCCTTTTGCTGAAACTTGACTGCTTCACTAGACTGCTTCAACTGGGGGGTCAGCTTGCAAAGTTCTGCTACTGTAGTTTCGGGTGCGCCTGGGAAAAGTCCACCGTGTGGCTGCGCAACAAACCGTGGATGCTGGATCTGCCAAGAGGCTGCTCGTGCAGCAGCCCTGCTGGCCATTTCCCTCTCCACGGTCGGTTCGACAAAGTCAAGCTCGAAGCTTTTGATAGATGCTGCTCGCCATCCTGTAGTTTCGTCTTCGGCCGCACACCGGCTTTAGGCGAAGAGGTCCGCGCTTTCTTGCTTGGTTACCCGGCAGCTTTCACACGTCAGCTTGCTGCAGGCAGCCTGGCGGCTAAGGCGGGCATGTGCAAACCGTTCCCTCTGTCGGCCCGTTGGGGCGCTGCTGAAGTGCTTCGCAGCGTGAGCGAAGATTGCTTGTCGCCGGAGTTTGCTTTCTTGTGAGACTCGGGCTCCTCATGACGACCCCGAATGGATCGGTGAGTTTGCGGACAGTCTACCCTCAAGGAGGTCCTCAGGTACCGTTTCCACAAGCCCGGCCACATTAAAATCCAGGAAGCTCGCATGGGAAAGACCTTCCAAAAGTACCTCGCTAGGCACGCCCCGGGTTGTAGAAGCTTGTCTCTCCTCGACAGTCGTGTTACCATGGGTGCGGTTGCTAAGGGTAGGTCCTCCATGCAGCACTGCCCTCATCCGTGTTCTTCAGGGCACCCTTCCCTACACGTTGGGCGGCGGGTTGTACAATGGGATTCTACATGTGTATTCGGGGCAGAACAGGTCGGATGGGCCTTCAAGGGGCAGGCCCGTCGATCCTCCTACAAAGGAGGTGCCGCTCTGGCGCAGCAGCCCCGGGCTCCTCGAGGCCCCCTTAACTTGCGTGCGGGGTTCACCAAGGACACAGCCGACCGGGTGGAGAAATGCTTGGAAGCCTTTAAGGTTTGGGTTCAGAGCGAGCTTAGGATCCCCTTCGCCCGCCCATCCAAGATGCATTCCCTGCCTTCAGGCAGCTGATGACCCCTGCTTGGCAAATCGATAAGAAGTGGCAATTTGCTGAACCTGGTGAGTCCCGACCGGTGATCTCTGTCCCGATCGTGCAAGCTGTAACTTCGCTCGGCCTGGTGTGGAAGTGGTCGAGGTTCGTCGGCGTGGTTCTCATCGGCTTCCTTTGCATGCTTCATCCTTCAGAGTACCTGATGCTGACGCGCGGTGACCTGATCCTGCCGTCTGACGTGCTCAGTCGGGATCGTGTGGCATACGTCGCAGTCCAGAATCCTAAGACTGCCCGTTTCGCGCGCCGTCAGCACTGCCGTCTTGAGGATGACTCGGTTCTGCGTTATCGAGGCCTTGTTTGGCCACCTCCCTTTTGATTGCCGGCTTTATCCGGGGAGCAAGAACACATTCCGGAGCCAGTGGAATGCAGTCATGCAGCGCCTCGAGATCCCTTTCAAGCAAGCTGACAAAAGGGTCACACCTGGTGTTCTCAGAGGGAGTGGTGTCACTCATTTATATCTCGAGACGGAGGGCCTTGTAAAAGTTGCTCGGCGTGGCAGGTGGGCTCGACAGAAAACTGTCGAGTTCTACTTGCAAGAAGTCGCTGCTCAAGTCGTTTTGCAACGTTTGCCAGCTCAGAGCCGCGCTCGCATAGCCGGACTGGCTGAGTTCTCGGCGCGGTTGGTCGAGGCTTACGCTTGCTCAGCGATGCGCTCGAAGCATCTTGAAGGTGGATAGTTCTTTAGGGTTTAGTCTTGTGGTCGCCGGGTCTCCCGCTGCTCCGGCTTAGGGTTCAGTCCTTCACCTTTGCGCCTGTCGGCACCTCTTGCCGCTCCGCTTTTCGGTTTAGGTTTCGGTTTAGTCCCTCAGCAGTCCTTCAGAGCCTTCCGGATTTCTTTGGTCTGGAGCACCGTCCCAGTTTCTACAGGCTTTTGGGGCTGAGCCCCGCCGACGTTCGACACCTTCGCCTTCGCAGGAAAAAGGTCGCAGTGCAGCCAGTGCTGGGGTATAAGGGTTCAGGTTTCGCGTTTTCGCTTGCTGTGGTTGGTTATTTTTGATTCAGCTGTGTCTTCTTGTGTAGAGTTTCATGCCATGCACCGCGCCGCATCGGCTCGTACACATAAAACACACTTGCATTTACACACGCCTTTCCTCGGCATCGCATTGCCCGGACTTTTCACTCTGCCTCTGAACGCATCGCAGTTCTTACAACCCTCGCGGAAAAAACAGTGCGAAGCCCCCTGCTTGCTCATGTAATTAACTACACAGAGAACGGTTTTGAACTTGGGGTTTAGGCGGGGAGGGCCAGCGCCGGGTAGGGAGCGGAAAAAATCACACAGTTGAGGGGGAAAGCAAGACACATCGCTCACTCGAGAAAGAGCAGAAAAAACCAAAACTGAAAGAAACATCCACGAATTCGGCAAATGCTACAGGAAACCGGACAAAGCAGGACACAGTAATGTCAAAAAAGGAAGATGCAGTTAACGCAAAAGAAGAAAAACAAGGAGGTCCAGCAATCGAACCTCGCAGCAGTACAAGGGCAATTGAGATGCAGCTATGATCTTCTTGTTTTGATTGTTGTGGTGTTCTTTGCTGATACTGGCGGCAGTAGTGGTGCTGCTGCCAGCAGTCGTGCTGCGCAGCTGTATCGCTAGGAGAGCTTCGGCGGTCGATCGACAGACGTTTTCAGTATCAGGGTGAAGGCAGTGAAGGCCCCGTTGTTCTTCAGTCATACGTGTTGTTGCTCATATTACATTAGCTGGGAGGCAGTTCGATAGAAAGTCCTCAGCCCGTGCCAAGTTCCTGTCGGGTGTCACAGTCGCCAGGCGATGTACGTCGTTCGACTGCCCGTGCTGCTGAAAGCTTGAGGCCCGGTGAAGGCGGCCTGCACTTTTCAGAGTTGTGTATCGGACGATGTTGGGCAAGACGTATCAAGACGTGCTCTTCGGATCATGCCGTCTTTTACGCAATATCATGCAGTCGAAGCCAGCAACATTGATTGCGCCTAGCGAGAAGTACGCGGTCAAATGGCCTGACTGGGAAACCATTTCTTTTGCGAAATCCCTGATGGTGGCAGCATTGCTGCGGCTCTTGCTGCTGCTGCTGCTGCTGCTGCTGTGATGCTGTTGAGGGCTGCCGTGCCATGCAGCTGCATCAGTGAGGTGAGCTTCGACAATCGATTGCCAGACGCTCTCAGTACCAGGGCCGCGGCGACGAAGGCCATCGAAACTTGTTGGTGGCATTTTTGTGCGCATGTCGTGCCAAAGCTGCAACAGTTGGAAGACGGTGTGCATCCAAGACTTCAGATGGTGCCTAGGCGATGTCGGGCATCAGATTTGCCAGGTGATGTACGTCGTTCGATTTCCCGCAAGTCGGAAAGCTCGAGGCCCGACGAAGGTGGCCTGCACTTGTTTGTTCCAGACAGCTCTGGGTGCATGGTGGATGCTGCTAGATGTGGGGTTTGCAATCTAGCCTGTGCGTGGACAGTCGTGAGATGCATGAAGGCTTGGCATAACATATACGCCATAGACGACATATAAGATGCTTCGCGAGACTTCTTCTCCAAAAGCTCGCGTGAAATAAGATCGAGTTTTGGAAGGGCCGGAGCTGTCAACCGCAGTGCGCAACGCAGCCGACATTCCTGAGGTGAGCTTCGACAGTCGATTGCCAGGCGCTCTCAGCACCAGGGCCCAGACAGCGAAGGCTCGCGTGCTTGTCAGTCGCATAACTGTGCGCATATGACGTATGCAGAAGTTGCAAGACGGTGTGTGAAACTGGCGTCGGGAGTCAGATTTGCCAGGTGATGTACGTCGTTCCATTGCCCGCAAGTCGGAAAGCTCGAGGCCCGACGAAGGTGGCCTGCACTTGTTTGTCCCAGACAGCTCTGGGCGTATGGTGGATGTTGTTCAGTAATTCTATCATGCTGTGGTTTTTGCAGGCGAACTTAGCAGCATTGCCATAAGCAACAAAGGAAGCATGTGAAGCACTCTTTCTTTCACAGCTCCTGCCGCATGCGGCGGCTGGTGCTGCAGGTCTGGTGTGCCGTGCAGCTGCATCACTGAGGTGAGCTTCGACAATCGATTGCCAGACGCTCTCAGTACCAGGGCCGCGGCGACGAAGGCCATCGAAACTTGTTGGTGGCATTTTTGTGCGCATGTCGTGCCAAAGCTGCAACAGTTGGAAGACGGTGTGCATCCAAGACTTCAGATGGTGCCTAGGCGATGTCGGGCAAAAGATTTGATCGATGACGTATGTCAGTTGCTTTCGCGCAATTCGCAAAGCTTCCAAACGAACTGCCAGCCCCGAGAAATCAGGGTAGCTTTTTTCTCGGGTCGCCCGTGGCTCCTTTGCAGGGCTGCACTTCCACTCTGGTTAGCAGGGACTTGGGCTAAGTCGCGGGGGCAAGATGACATGGCTGGCAATAGTGTTCAATAATCAGCAAGGCTGTTTCCATGATGAGATATGCATGCTGAATCATGATGGTGAGTTGCATCGGTGCCTTCATGCCTTGCACGCCTTACTCCGCTGTGTGGCGACGCATCACGTAGTAAAACGATGCCATAGAGATGTTGCTGCTGGCTGCTTTGCCGCATCTCGCAGGTGAGCTTCGACAGTCGATTGCCAGGCGCTCTCAGCACCAGGGCCCAGACAGCGAAGGCTCGCGTGCTTGTCAGTCGCATAACTGTGCACATATTACATACGCAGAAGTTGCAAGACGGTGTGTGAAACTGGCGTCGGGAGTCAGATTTGCCAGGCGATGTACGTCGTTCCATTGCCCGCAAGTCGGAAAGCTCGAGGCCAGACGAAGGTGGCTTGCACTTGTTTGTCCCAGACAACTCTGGGCGTATGGTGGATGTTGTTCAGTAATTCTATCATGCTGTGGTTTTTGCAGGCGAACTGCAGCATTGCCATAAGCAACAAAGGAAGCATGTGAAGCACTCTTTCTTTCACAGCTCCTGCCGCATGCGGCGGCTGGTGCTGCAGGTCTGGTGTGCCGTGCAGCTGCATCACTGAGGTGAGCTTCGACAATCGATTGCCAGACGCTCTCAGTACCAGGGCCGCGGCGACGAAGGCCATCGAAACTTGTTGGTGGCATTTTTGTGCGCATGTCGTGCCAAAGCTGCAACAGTTGGAAGACGGTGTGCATCCAAGACTTCAGATGGTGCCTAGGCGATGTCGGGCATCAGATTTGCCAGGTGATGTACGTCGTTCGATTTCCCGCAAGTCGGAAAGCTCGAGGCCCGACGAAGGTGGCCTGCACTTGTTTGTTCCAGACAGCTCTGGGCGCATGGTGGATGCTGCTAGATTCTGCTAGATGTGGGGTTTGCAATCTAGCCTGTGCGTGGACAGTCGTGAGATGCATGAAGGCTTGGCATAACATATACGCCATAGACGACATATAATGAGATGCTTCGCGAGACTTCTTCTCCAAAAGCTCGCGTGAAATAAGATCGAGTTTTGGAAGGGCCGGAGCTGTCAACCGCAGTGCGCAACGCAGCCGACATTCCTGAGGTGAGCTTCGACAGTCGATTGCCAGGCGCTCTCAGCACCAGGGCCCAGACAGCGAAGGCTCGCGTGCTTGTCAGTCGCATGACTGTGCGCATATGACGTATGCAGAAGTTGCAAGACGGTGTGTGAAACTGGCGTCGGGAGTCAGATTTGCCAGGTGATGTACGTCGTTCCATTGCCCGCAAGTCGGAAAGCTCGAGGCCAGACGAAGGTGGCTTGCACTTGTTTGTCCCAGACAGCTCTGGGCGTATGGTGGATGTTGTTCAGTAATTCTATCATGCTGTGGTTTTTGCTGGCGAACTTAGCAGCATTGCCATCAGCACCAAACGAAGCATGTGAAACACTCTTCCTTTCACAGCTCCTGCCGCATGCGGCGGCTGGTGCTGCAGGTCTGGTGTGCCGTGCAGCTGCATCACTGAGGTGAGCTTCGACAATCGATTGCCAGACGCTCTCAGTACCAGGGCCGCGGCGACGAAGGCCATCGAAACTTGTTGGTGGTATTTTTGTGCGCATGTCGTGCCAAAGCTGCAAAAGTTGGAAGACGGTGTGCATCCAAGACTTCAGATGGTGCCTAGGCGATGTCGGGCAAAAGATTTAATCGATGACGTATGTCAGTTGCTTTCGCGCAATTCGCAAAGCTTCCAAACGAACTGCCAGCCCCGAGAAATCAGGGTAGCTTTTTTCTCGGGTCTCCCGTGGCTCCTTTGCAGGGCTGCACTTCCACTCTGGTTAGCAGAGACTTGGGCTAAGTCGCGGGGGCAAGATGACATGGCTAGCAATAGTGTTCAATAATCAGCAAGACTGTTTCCATGGTGAGATATGCCTGCTGAATCATGATGGTGAGTTGCATCGGTGCCTTCATGCCTTGCACACCTTACTCCGATTTGTGGAAACGCATCACGTAGTAAAACGATGCCATAGAGATGTTGCTGCTGGCTGCTTTGCCGCATCTCGCAGGTGAGCTTCGACAGTCGATTGCCAGGCGCTCTCAATACCAGGGCCCAGACAGCGAAGGCTGTCCACACATGACTCATATGTATCTCATATGACACATGCGGAAGTTGCAAGACGGTCTGTGTCAGATTTGCCAGGTGATGTACGCCGTTCGGTTGCCCGCAAATCGGAAAGTTCAAGGCCCGACCAAGGCGGCCTGCACCTGTTTGACCCAGACAGCTCTGGGCGTATTGCGTGGTGGGCACTGTTCTTTGTATTATGTTGTGGTTGTGGCAGTCGAGCCCGGAACGGGGCACCTTCTAGTGGTCGCAGCGATTGGCGGCCGCGGGTGACTTAAGTTGTAATATGGTCTTCTTTTATCAAATGACCGCACGAAAGCTAGAATGCGTAGAATCCCAAAAGATTGAGAAGGCCGGCGCAGATCACCCACCAGCTCTGCGAAACACCACAGATGATGGCGGGACTCTGGGTACAAAGCCGTGGAAGTCGCAGGCAAACAGGGCCGGCCTCTTTGATGTCTTCATACGACTTGCCACAGCGTTCCCACACTACAAGCCGTGGCAACCATTTGCCACGCAAGTCTTAGGCAACGGTCATGAGCGGAAGCCCTTGCCGCTTGCCGTTTGTCGGGTCCTGCCCTCTTGCAAGACATTGCAAGACAGGGTGTGCCTCTACTGTCACAGCATGTCAAATTTCCCTAAACTCCACGAAGCCAGGAGCCGAGGCTCCTCATGACTGCACGAACACATTCTTTACACATTCTGATGTGGCTGCCGGCCCAACGCTCTTGCGGCAGAAACCGAACGGAATAATGGTGGATGTTCTGCAGACGGCAGATTTCTTGGTGTTTGTGTTAGGGCCGCTCATCTTTGTGCTACCGCTGCCACTGCTGCTCCTGGTGGTGCTGCTGCAGCTGCCTGTGCTTCGTACTTCTGCACGACCGCATGCTGGAGGGCAGGTTCACCGTTCGAGTTCCGGATGGTCTCCACAATGCCGGTTAGTGGCATGGATTGCATTTAGATGGTTCCAACACTGTTGTCTGCCAGATCTGCCAGGTGATGTTCGCTGCTCGATTGGCCGCAAGTCAGAAAGTTCGAGGCCAGACGAAGGCGGCCTGTTTGGCTTTGCTGGAGCTGTGTTGCTGTGACGGATACATGCCAGGCGTCACTGTAGAATACACAGGGCAAGGCTCTCCGGCCAGTTTAGATTTCTTGATTGCTCTATATGGCTCAGGTGATGTGCACGCTTCCATGGCTCGGCATTCGCAGCTTCATGCAGGCATCGGGGGACTCGAGTATCAGATGCTACTGGTATCTGGCCTTTTCGTCCAGGCCACGCCCACCGTGCCAGCCGCCATGGAGACGAAGGAAGACCTGTGCTCATTACCGGCCCGGCCTTGTCCGGAAAACCTGACGGTTCGCGTTCCAAGGTGCGACTGGATTCTCTCCTTCGGCCAGGAAGTCAGACTATGGCATGGGCGATGCAGGCAAACACGGACGTGGCTGTCGAAGTTGGTGTCGGTCTTACACACTCACACACACACACACACCCACGCACGCGCGCATGCACGCGCGCATGCACGCGCGCATGCACGCGCGCACGCACGCGCACGCACGCGCACGCACACGCACGCACACGCACGCACACGCACGCACACGCACGCACACGCACGCCCACCCACACACACACACACACACACACAGAGAGAGAGAGAGAGAGAGAGAGAGAGAGACACACACGGACGGAACTCTGCTTTCGTGGCACCGGTTGTTTGCCGGACACCTTTTCCA